TCATAAACTTGAAAAGCAGAGACAAATTGATATTTAAAATCACTTTAAACGATTCGCTTAGAAATTACAATCATTTTCGTTTCTTTGTCATCTCGCCATGTAAATGCTTAAATTAATCACTAAATGACATGTACAACGATTACATTGTGTAAAGGAAATAATACAGAGGATATCAAAGACTTCAATTCTGCCCTCAACTTGAGAATAACCTTTGTCGATGGATGGCAAATGCGATTCAAGCAGCTTAATTCAAATGAAGAAACTTCGAGATATTCAACGGTATTGCTGAATCAAACCATTGTCCTAATGTTTATCAATAAAAACTTAAGAAAGATATCCCGCAAACGATAGAAAAGTTGGCCCAGGTAACTTAAACAGGTAATATTTTCGGTAAATATGCGAGAACAAGGTGGGATATTTTTATTTAAAAAAATGTTATTTTTACAGATTCATTTGGCCGTCTGCCATGCCGAGGCACGCTTAGCCCTGGAGGACATATTGAAATTCAAATGTTCTTAGAACGTTTTTAAGCAAAATATGTTTGTTCTTGCAGGTATTACCCAGAATATGCTCTTCATTCGAGAAAGTATCGTAGAGGTGGACATGGGGGGTTCTGGATATAAATAATAGAACAAACACAGCATCGCCGCAAGAAATATTATCAACACACCGACACCGCGAGATTTACTTGGTCTAAATGTTTTAATTTTTTTTTAAAAACGTCATTACCGTTACTTCTATTTTACAGACATACAAAACACATCACAAGACATTCCTACCGCGTTCTCCGCTTGTAAAATTCCTTGTTGTCGCCTACACTTCAAAGATGACTGCATAAATGACTGCAAAGATGATCCAAAGAAGTTACCGCTGCCAAATGGGTCAGGTCGTGCATCCTCTGAAGTTAGAATATAATCCCACAAAATGTGAAATTTATAGTTTGCTTCCTTTGATGTCACGACTTTCTTTGTCTAGTTTTATGTTTCATATCCATTTTCTATTTCATGAGAAAAGCTTATATAGTTAGTCATCGTGGTGACTAACACTGACAGCTAAGTTTATCGTTTGTCTCCTGATGTAGTTAAAGAACTGGATAGTCCGCTGTCATTCATTGGTTTAACAACAGCTGCGATTGGCACATTTCCATTCCTGTTGCTTGGCGAAACGTTCCGCCGCGGTCGACTCTCGTTCTTCCTTGCAAATAATCTTCGCTTTCGTCGCTGGCTCCTTGATTGTCTCTTGAAATTGAACAGCATTCCTTGGAAACTCATAACATATTACATTTGAGACTGATAAAAACCCAATAGTTATTTAGCCGGCACTTACTTCCTTGCTATGTTAGTTGGATCAGTTAAGAACTTCTCTCTTTTTTTCAAAAATTTACCTTGAATTTGATCGGTTTTCGCGTGTGTGACTCACATAGTGTGACACCGATAGTGTCACACTATGTGTCATAGTGTCATTCAAGTCTATCTGTTTGCTTGATTGAAACGTGATGTTTACGAAAGTCGCCTCGATAGATAAGATAGAGTTAATATACATGTTTTTGGTAATTATTTTTTGCTGAGTTCCGTAGTTTTTTTGTAAATTGTCCTCCAAAGTTGTCTCAAATTAAAGTCTTGAAAAATGTCACGACAGCTTCGCTCGAGTGAAGTTTAATTTCCGTAAAACTCTGAAAAATAAAGAGATCCGATCAAACGGATTGTGGTTTTAGTGTAGGTACATGAGTGTCTTACAACACACAAGAAATGTGCTAAATCCGTCGACCGGACCGCTCTTACAGAGACACTCTCGTAAGACCGTGTCCGGCTGACGGATGTTTAGTCATTTAAATTAAAGCTAGTTTTTTCGTGCAGCGATTCTTTCGACGAAGAAAGGGGTCGCTCTTTCTTCACGCTTGCAGCGCAATTATCTCTTTAAAAAATCTGTAAAAACCTTGAGACTTGACTTACTTACTCCAGACACCTTGAGGCAAATGATCCCACATTTTTCGCCGACGGTGGCACTGTTTACAAATACAAGCAGAAAACGCTTGCAGCGCAATTATCTCTTTAAAAAATCTGTAAAAACCTTGAGACTTGACTTACTTCCTCAAGACACCTTGAGGCAAATGATCCCACATTTTTCGCCGACGGTGGCACTGTTTACAAATACAAGCAGAAAACGCGTGGATTTCGTAAGCGCGATGCTAATCGAACACCGTCCTCTTACTCTATACCAAAAATCGCTCATAATCTTTTCCTATATCCTTGATGCAAAATATGTATTTGAAATTGGGCGCTGAATTGCAAATTTACTCGAAAAATGGAAAGTAAATTCTCCCCAATGTTGTTGTTTATCTCGATAACCTTCACGCTAACACGTACCACTTCGCAAGGAAATATTATCAGCATACATTATAACATAGCTAGTAAATTTGTGTTATCAAATTCAATTGCGCGAGCGTGTTTCATATTCCTTTATAAAATAATTCAAATAGTACGCGCGCTCTGATTGGCCATAAAACCATTTTACATGAGCGTATGTAAACACGGTTTTCATATTGAATCTTCTCGCAGAGTTCTTCTTGCTATTTATTTAGCAGTAACTCGGTTTCTTTAAGTTCGTTTTGAGTACAGTACTGGAAGAAGAAGATTTTCCCAATTTTTCTTTGGAGTTTAATTTTCCCAGTATTCAAGAAACGGCCGAAAAGCCAAATGAACAACAACAACAAGCACGTCGCTTTCCTCCGTTGCAAGAAGAGGCTCTTTCATTAGTTATTTTATAAAAGAAATGTAAAATGGTTTCCGTGTTTACATAGCCTGATGTAAACACTTGGGAGGTTGGGTGAACACTCGATAAGCTGGAAATCACTCCGCTTCGCGTCGTGGTTCCCTACGCTTATCTCGTGTTCTCCCAACCTCCCGCGTGTTTACATCAGGCTATGTAAACACGGAAACCATTTTACATTTCTTCACTTGCGCACGCTCATGACGTCAGCAAACAAATCCCTCGAGAAAAAGATTTTCCATCGGGTTGAAAATGTTATAAAACAATTGGTTCATACGTCAGCTGTGCGTTCATCGAGATATGAAGCACTTAGGAAGTTTGGAGGGCACTTAAGAAGCTAGAGTTGCTCTCGGCTAAGCCTCGAGCAACTCTTACGCATCTTTCCCACGTGCTTCATATCTCGATGAACGCACGCTAAAAAGTAACTAATAACAAATGAAAGAGGAGCAAAAACCGTGTTTACATACGCTCGTGTAAAATGGTTTTATGGCCAATCATTACTATTTTAATTATTTATAAAATTCGATTGCGCGAGCGTGCTTCATATTCCTATTGTGCACGCTCATGACGTCAGCAAACAAATCGATAAAAAAACGATAAAAAAAATTGAAAATGTTATAAAACAATTGGTTCATACGTCAGCTGTGCGTTCATCGAGATATGAAGCACTTGGGAAGTTTGGAGAGCACTCAAGAAGCTAGAGTTGCTCTCGGCTACGCCTCGAGAACTCTTACGCATCTTTCGTGCTCTCCAAACTTCCCGCGTGCTTCATATCTAGATGACCGCACGCTGACATATGAACCAATTGTTAATTAGAGTGACGTCACGGAACAGGATTAGTATCGGGTTTGCATAGACGTTCCCTCGCTTCCATTCCACCATGGGAAGGGGAAAGCTACACGTAGGCTAGCATGGATGCCCTAACAAAGCAGGGGATGGAACTTGGAGAAGAACTTCGGGGAACAAAGTTGTTTGATCTGGGGTATATTCTGATCAAGGTTCTCCCTAAAATATGTTTTGAAAAGCAGTTTGGTGTAACCGCAGTTGAACTTGGATGAGTTAAAACGGTACTTACCACCAAGTTGTAGGTTCGTTATTTCATAAATTTTCGATTGTTTTAATTATTTTTCCAGGGAAAATAAAACAGAACTATGGTCCAAATTGGTAGATGTTTTAATTTCCATTCCTAGAGATGTTTAATTAATTAATGCCAAATTTAAATAAAGAGTTATGCTCTTCTCACTCATGACAAGGTGAGGATTCTTAAGTGTATGGTTTAAAACACGACAAGTGTATTTCGCTTTCTTCAACTTTGTCTGGTCAAATAACAAGCTTGAGAGTGATTCAACGATTCAACTTGTCTTGTGATTGTTTCATTCAGCTTCTTAATTTGTTCAGTTCATCGAACCTCTCCCACCCCCCCCCCTTCCTTTGCTCTTAAGTCAGAGAAATCTAAGTTTAATTTTTCGAAAGGAGAAATACAACTGAAATCTTAAAAATAAATGCGAGATACAGCTGAAAAGGTGTTTTATGGTAGCTGGTGCCGAATAGTGAATGGTGTAGTAATCCGGAAGTCTCCAGCAAAGTGTTGACGTTTTTCGCGAACTTTCGTTCGGGATTTCGGTTTGCATATTTCGTTTACATCGCGTATTGCGCCACACAAAGAAGTGAATTCGTCACATTTCCGAAAACATTGAGAAGTAAGAGTCTTCATGAAAAGGTCAAAAAGAGAAGTCACCATGTGGCAAATCCAAGAGAAAGCCAAAAAGATCGAAGGCAGAAGATTTGGTGAGGCGAAGAGACCGACCATGCTCTTCGGTGTCTTTGCTTTACGCAATGAATTTGTAGGAGTTCGTTTAACCGATTCGTTTTGCCTGGTGAGGAAGGAAAAAAAGAGCTTTCTTTGCTTGTCTTGCTTGAAAAATAGAGCAGAAATAAAGCATTCTTTGCATGTCTTGCTGGAGAAATAGGGCAAAAAACAAATTAAGAGCGAAATAAAATGAAACGAACATGTCTTTTAATTTTCGGTGCTTTATCAAAAAACTTCGCCAAACCGTGCGATTTTCACATGAGGCACAAGCCTCCTCGCTAATGCATAATGAAACTGATAATGATCACAATGATAAAGATACATTCATCTACCACCTTTTAATGTGCTCTATAAATAGACCTAGTTAACATGATAATAGTGTCATTTCCAGAGGACATCTTGCTTGTCTTTAGTACGAAAAATGGAGTCTCTCGTTCACCTTCAGCCAGAGAAAGATGAACATAAATCGTTCATGATTCTCCCGATTACGACTGAGGAGGAAATGCAAAGGTTTGTAATAGAACCAATGGCGAAGGAAGGCTGGCGGCCGGGCTTAAAAGACGCCGAGTGTTTTCTCGCTTGTGACCCCACGGCAGCTTTTGTTGGCGAACTGAACGGGAAACCCATAGCCACAGTAAGAATCTCAAAATATGGCGACAGCTTTGCTTTCATTGGAGCTTACCTGGTGGATAAGGAATATAGAGGAAAGGGATACGGCTTGAAGATCTTCAATGCCGCCGTGTCAAGTGTGAAGCCAACCAGCAACATCGGATTATATGCTTTCCTTCACCTTGAGAAAATGTACGAAAGAGGCGGATTCCGAAGTTACTTTTATGCAGCGCGCTATGACTTCCATCTCCCAACAGCCATGGCTTGTTTTCCAGGAATAGTGAAGAAAATCTCTGTAGAAGTAAAAGCTATAGAGGACGTAGAACTAGAGAACTTATTCCTGTACGATAGGCATGTGTTTGGCTTCGAACGTAGCGCGTTCTTATCGAGATTGCTTCGTGCAGCGGGTACCCTCGGATATGTGGCCGTCAACCGTGAAGGCTCCATTGTGGGTTACATTTCTGCCCGACCGACTTTTCTCAAAGAGGAAGGAAAACATTGAGAAGTAAGAGTCTTCATGAAAAGGTCAAAAAGAGAAGTCACCATGTGGCAAATCCAAGAGAAAGCCAAAAAGATCGAGGGCAGCAAATTTGGTGAGGCGAAGAGACTGACCATGCTCTTCGGTGTCTTTGCTTTACGCAATGAATTTGTAGGAGTTCGTTTAACCGATTCGTTTTGCCTGGTGAGGAAGGAAAAAAAGAGCTTTCTTTGCTTGTCTTGCTTGAAAAATAGAGCAGAAATAAAGCATTCTTTGCTTGTCTTGCTGGAAAAATAGGGCAAAAAACAAATTAAGAACGAAATAAAATGAAACGAACATGTCTTTTAATTTTTGGTGCTTTATCAAAAAACTTCGCCAAACCATGCGATTTTCACATGAGGCACAAGCCTCCTCGCTAATGCATAATGAAACTGATAATGATCACAATGATAAAGATACATTCATCTACCACCTTTTAATGTGCTCTATAAATAGACCTAGTTAACATGATAATAGTGTCATTTCCAGAGGACATCTTGCTTGTCTTTAGTACGAAAAATGGAGTCTCTCGTTCACCTTCAGCCAGAGAAAGATGAACATAAATCGTTCATGATTCTCCCGATTACGACTGAGGAGGAAATGCAAAGGTTTGTAATAGAACCAATGGCGAAGGAAGGCTGGCGGCCGGGCTTAAAAGACGCCGAGTGTTTTCTCGCTTGTGACCCCACGGCAGCTTTTGTTGGCGAACTGAACGGGAAACCCATAGCCACAGTAAGAATCTCAAAATATGGCGACAGCTTTGCTTTCATTGGAGCTTACCTGGTGGATAAGGAATATAGAGGAAAGGGGTACGGCTTGAAGATCTTCAATGCCGCCATGTCAAGTGTGAAGCCAACCAGCAACATCGGATTATATGCTTTCCTTCACCTTGAGAAAATGTACGAAAGAGGCGGATTCCGAAGTTACTTTTATGCAGCGCGCTATGACTTCCATCTCCCAACAGCCATGGCTTGTTTTCCAGGAATAGTGAAGAAAATCTCTGTAGAAGTAAAAGCTATAGAGGACGTAGAACTAGAGAACTTATTCCTGTACGATAGGCATGTGTTTGGCTTCGAACGTAGCGCGTTCTTATCGAGATTGCTTCGTGCAGCGGGTACCCTCGGATATGTGGCCGTCAACCGTGAAGGCTCCATTGTGGGTTACATTTCTGCCCGACCGACTTTTCTCAAAGAGGAAGGTTACTTAATAGGACCTCTGTTTGCGAATTCTAAAGCAATCGCACAGAGGCTACTGAAGGCTTTGTTCGAGAAGCTTCTTCATCAAGAGAAAGCTACCCCATTGGTTTGCATGGATGCTTCAACAAAGCAGGGCATGGAACTTGGAGAAGAACTTCAAGGAAAAAAGGTGTTTGATTTCGTGTACATGGTTACAAAGGATCTCCCTAATACCTGTTTGGAAAAGCAGTTTGGTGTTACTAACACTGACCTGGGATGAGATGATGAGAATTTAAAACAACGCTATTGGCGTGTACCTCACGTAATGCTGTATTGGTGAATTTTACTGGACACGACTCGTACACTATTAAAGTGTGAAAACCCAAAATCTGCATAATGTCCCACTTGGATATGTATCTCACTACAATGTATGCTAGTTACCCTTTGCCTTTCAGTGTACAAAACTGTGTTGCACAATAGGTGCTGCATGCTTTTATTGATTAATGCTAAATTAAGAGGGTCTTAATAGGGAGATGGCTTTTAGGGCTTGCGGATGACATTACGAAATGTTCACCTAAACTGGAAAGGTGCGAAGACATGTAATACTAAAAGGAATATTTTAAGGTGCAGCTACTGAGGAAATGTCTAACTTAAGGTGTATGTCTTGTGGTAAACTCCGTTTGTTGATGACAGGCACGTCGGTTAACTTGCCATTTAAACTAGCGCTGGAAAATGTGAAACCATTCTTCATGTACAATTGGATCGCTGGCACCAGCGAAGACGTTGTTTTTAAGATAACCAATTTTATGCTATATGTCTTGGCATGTGAGATAAGTTCATTAATCAGGTTATTAGCGATCCCCATTCCCCTACAACTCGGGACAACGTACATGCGCTTGAGTTCATAGACGCCTCGTTCGAAGTTTTCCTCGTGAACGAGGCCCACCATCCCAACAACTCTTCCATTCAACTCTGCTACCCACAAGTGCGACTGTTGAATCGACATGTAGGACTCTTCGATGTCCTTTAAATCACCTGAATTCAGTGTATGATTAATATAGAGCCAGCCTGTCAACTGCAAATATATGCAGATGAATGCCAAAACCATGCATGCCATCACCACAAACACAGCAAAGATCCATGCCGACCAAATTACTGCTGCAAGTATGGCAAATATAGCAGCCATGACAATATACCTTACCAGCAATAATAACTATATTACTGTGATACTCTCTATAAACTCTTGATATCCATCCTTAAATATGTTTTGGCATGCTGATTGGTCCTTACGTTCGAATGAACGAATGATCGGCAAGATCCTGACTGCTTTGTTCTCGGTTAGTGATACCAACTTCTCTCTAAAGATTGACGGAGCCATTTGGAGCTGTGAAGAAAACAATTTTGGCAGCGGTCGCATCAAACTTCACTAATTGAATCTAACTTCAATCACAAACCCACTTCGCTCCAAAAAGAAATTTAAAAAAATCGAAAAAGAATTTGAGCGCCGCTGTCAAAGTGTTTTGGGAAGGCAGATGCCTAAAACTCGGGGATACACCAAACACTTTGACAGCGGCGCTCAAATTCGTTTCACTCCAAAGAAAAAGGATAAGATGAACGAGAAAAATCCTGCCATCGCAGGTCAAACTAGACTAGCGGACTAAAGTATTTTTCCCTGATGAAATTTTATCCTGGCATATCTTGCATACCATGGCAGCTTATGGTTGAAGAAAACATGAATGTTTGTGTAGCCAAAATTTGGAAGTCTCAGAGGCAGGACATCGGGTCCTTCAAATATTTTGCAAGTTACAAAAATTGAAAAGTTTTTCGAATCGAATGATTTTGAAAAATAGAAAAGCATGGATATTGATTATCACCGCTGAAAAAAGATAAAAAACAGCATAATAAGCGATAAATCTAAAAAGAATAGTTCTCCCATTTTCAATTTTCCATTACATTTTCCTATTCCCCATTTCTATTCTTAGTTTCCTATTCCTCATTTCCTAATCCTCGTTTTCCACTCCACATTTCCCGTTCTCCATCCTTCATTCTCCATTCCCCATTCCTGCTTTTAGTAACAGTAATAATAAAAAAATGATATAACTTCGAAGCGTGAAGAATGCTCCACTGTTGATGCGTTTTTTACTACTGCAATAATTCCGCAAATTGGGATCTGTCTTTTCATAAAATGTCCTATATTCTTATTTCTTATTTTGAAATTCTGTCGGCCTTTCCCACTCTTGTTCATATTTGAAATTCAATTTTTTTTAACTTCATGGAACTATGAAATTTTGTGTGGGTCTGTTGAAACTGGACAACGTTCCTTGAAAATTCGGAACAAACATTTAGACGTCAGGCGTAAAAATTGTCAAATTTTAACAGTTGGTCGTGAGAAAAGCTAACCATAAAACTTTCTCTTTTAGCCACAAAAATCATCATCCCATTGAGAATTTCTGACCGTTCTGCACATACTTCTGAAATATCCATTTAACAGAAATCGTAGTAATCGCCTGACATTTAATCGCCAATAAAATAGATAAACTTCCCTATTTGTTCCTAAAAATTCAACTGCAGGGAATAAAAGAAAGGAATAATATGCAGTTACGTATCATGAACTACCCATAGATATTTTGATTACGTTAAATCGAGTTGCAACGGATCAATTTCAAATCTCCAGTTGTAGAGGATCAGTTTCAATATGACACAAAGAGGCAAGCTAGTATATACACAGGCTTCTCAAGCTCAAGTCTGATGAAATTTTAAACAGCCATCTCATGGCTGCATATAAACCTTCCTTTGCATAAAATTGACAAGTATTTATTGTATAATAATGATACTTTTTGAAATAAAACGACAAACGTTCATAAACTTGAAAAGCAGAGACAAATTGATATTTAAAATCACTTTAAACGATTCGCTTAGAAATTACAATCATTTTCGTTTCTTTGTCATCTCGCCATGTAAATGCTTAAATTAATCACTAAATGACATGTACAACGATTACATTGTGTAAAGGAAATAATACAGAGGATATCAAAGACTTCAATTCTACCCTCAACTTGAGAATAACCTTTGTCGATGGATGGCAAATGCGATTCAAGCAGCTTAATTCAAATGAAGAAACTTCGAGATATTCAACGGTATTGCTAAATCAAACATTGTCCTAATGTTTATCAATAAAAACTTAAGAAAGATATCCCGCAAACGATAGAAAACTTGGCCCAGGTAACTTAAACAGGTAATATTTTCGGTAACTATGCGAAAACAAGGTGGGATATTTTTATTTAAAAAAAATGTTATTTTTACAGATTCATTTGGCCGTCTGCCATGCCGAGGCACGCTTAGCCCTGGAGGACATATTGAAATTCAAATGTTCTTAGAACGTTTTCAAGCCAAATATGTTTGTTCTTGCAGGTATTACCCAGAATATGCTCTTCATTCGAGAAAGTATCGTAGAGGTGGACATGGGGGGTTCTGGATATAAATAATAGAACAAACACAGCATCGCCGCAAGAAATATTATCAACACACCGACACCGCGAGATTTACTTGGTCTAAATGTTTTATTTTTTTTTTTAAAACGTCATTACCGTTACTTCTATTTTACAGACATACAAAACACATCACAAGACATTCCTACCGCGTTCTCCGCTTGTAAAATTCCTTGTTGTCGCCTACACTTCAAAGATGACTGCATAAATGACTGCAAAGATGATCCAAAGAAGTTACCGCTGCCAAATGGGTCAGTCGTGCATCCTCTGAAGTTAGAATATAATCCCACAAAATGTGAAATTTACAGTTTGCTTCCTTTGATGTCACGACTTTCTTTGTCTAGTTTTATGTTTCATATCCATTTTCTATTTCATGAGAAAAGCTTATATAGTTAGTCATCGTGGTGACTAACACTGACAGCTAAGTTTATCGTTTGTCTCCTGATGTAGTTAAAGAACTGGATAGTCCGCTGTCATTCATTGGTTTAACAACAGCTGCGATTGGCACATTTCCATTCCTGTTGCTTGGCAAAACGTTCCGCCGCGGTCGACTCTCGTTCTTCCTTGCAAATAATCTTCGCTTTCGTCGCTGGCTCCTTGATTGTCTCTTAAAATTGGACAGAATTCCTTGGAAACTCATAACATATTACATTTGAGACTGATAAAAACCCAATAGTTATTTAGCCGGCACTTACTTCCTAGCTATGTTAGTTGGATCAGTTAAGAACTTCTCTCTTTTTTTCAAAAATTTACCTTGAATTTGATCGGTTTTCGCGTGTGTGACTCAGGCTAACCGATAGTGTCATTCAAGTCTATCTGTTTGCTTGATTGAAACGTGATGTTTACGAAAGTCGCCTCGATAGATAGGATAGAGTTAATATACATGTTTTTGGTAATTATTTTTTGCTGAGTTCCGTAGTTTTTTTTGTAAATTGTCCTCCAAAGTTGTCTCAAATTAAAGTCTTGAAAAATGTCACGACAGCTTCGCTCGAGTGAAGTTTAATTTCCGTAAAACTCTGAAAAATAAAGAGATCCGATCAAACGGATTGTGGTTTTAGTGTAGGTACATGAGTGTCTTACAACACACAAGAAATGTGCTAAATCCGTCGACCGGACTGCTCTTACGAGAGTGTTCTTACAGAGACACTCTCGTAAGACCGTGTCCGGCTGACGGGTGTTTAGTCATTTAAATTAAAGCTATAGTTTTTTCGTGTAGCGATTCTTTCGACGAAGAAAGGGGTCGCTCCTTCTTCACGCTTGCAGCGCAATTATCTCTTTAAAAAATCTGTAAAAACCTTGAGACTTGACTTACTTACTCCAGACACCTTGAGGCAAATGATCCCACATTTTTCGCCGACGGTGGCACTGTTTACAAATACAAGCAGAAAACGCTTGCAGCGCAATTATCTCTTTAAAAAATCTGTAAAAACCTTGAGACTTGACTTACTTCCTCAAGACACCTTGAGGCAAATGATCCCACATTTTTCGCCGACGGTGGCACTGTTTACAAATACAAGCAGAAAACGCGTGGATTTCGTAAGCGCGATGCTAATCGAACACCGTCCTCTTACTCTATACCAAAAATCGCTCATAATCTTTTCCTATATCCTTGATGCAAAATATGTATTTGAAATTGGGCGCTGAATTGCAAATTTACTCGAAAAAAGGAAAGTAAATTCCCCCCAATGTTGTTGTTTATCTCGATAACCTTCACGCTAACACGTACCACTTCGCAAGGAAATATTATCAGCATACATTATAACATAGCTAGTAAATTTTAAGAAGCTAGAGTTGCTCTCGGCTAGGCCTCGAACAACTCTTACGCATCTTTCGTGCTCTCCAAACTTCCCACGTGCTTCATATCTCGATGAACGCACGCTAAAAAGTAACTAATAACAAATGAAAGAGGAACGAACACCGTGTTTCCATACGCTCATGTAAAATGGTTTTATGGCCAATCAGAGCGCGCGTACTATTTGAATTATTTTATAAAATTCGATTGCGCGAGCGTGCTTCATATTCCTATTGTGCACGCTCATGACGTCAGCAAACAAATCCGTCGAGAAAAAAAAAATTGAAAATGTTATAAAACAATTGGTTCATACGTCAGCTGTGCGTTCATCGAGGTATGAAGCACTTGGGAAGTTTGGAGGGCACTCAAGAAGCTTGAGTTGCTCTAGGCTACGCCGCGAGCAACTCTTACGCATCTTCCGTGCTCTCCAAACCTCCCGCGTGCTTCATATCTCGATGAACGCACGTTGACATATGAACCAATTGTTAATTAGAGTGACGTCACGGAACAGGATTAGTATCGGGTTTGCATAGACGTTCCCTCGCTTCCATTCCACCATGGGAAGGGGAAAGCTACACGTAGGCTAGCATGGAAACCCTAACAAAGCAGGGGATGGAACTTGGAGAAGAGCTTCGGGAACAAAGTTGTTTGATCTGGGGTATATGCTGATCAAGGTTCTCCCTAAAATATGTTTTGAAAAGCAGTTTGGTGTAACTGCAGTTGAACTTGGATGAGTTAAAACGGTACTTACCACCAAGTTGTAGGTTCGTTATTTCATAAAATTTCGATTGTTTTAATTATTTTTCCAGGAAAATAAAACAGAACTATGGTCCAAATTGGTAGATGTTTTAATTTCCATTCCTAGAGATGCTTTCATTAATTAATGCCAAATTTAAATAAAGAGTTATGCACTTCTCACTCATGACAAGGTGAGGATTCTTAAGTGTATAGTTTAAAACACGACAAGTGTATTTCGCTTTCTTCAACTTTGTCTGGTCAAATAATAAGCTTGAGAGTGATTCAACTTGTCTTGTGATTGTTTCATTCATCTTCTAAATTTGTTCAGTTCATCGAACCCCCCCCACCCCCCCCCCCCCCCCCCCCCCCCCCCCCCCCCCCCCCCCCCCCCCCCCCCCCCCCCCCCCCCCGAACTTGGAGAAGAACTTCAAGGAAAAAAGGTGTTTGATTTCGTGTACATGGTTACAAAGGATCTCCCTAATACCTGTTTGGAAAAGCAGTCTGGTGTTACTAACACTGAACTGGGATGAGATGATGAGAATTTAAAACAACGCTATAGGCGTGTACCTCACGTAATGCTGTATTGGTGAATTTTACTGGACACGACTCGTACACTATTAAAGTGTGAAAACCCAAAATCTGCATAATGTCCCACTTGGATATGTATCTCACTACAATGTATGCTAGTTACCCTTTGCCTTTCAGTGTACAAAACTGTGTTGCACAATAGGTGCTGCATGCTTTTATTGATTAATGCTAAATTAAGAGGGTCTTAATGGGGAGATGGCTTTTAGAGCCAGCGGTTGAAATTATGGTCATTTTACGGCTAACGATTAATTTCTTCCTGTGACAATTAACAAAAGTGATAAAAAGTTCATTTCAGCTACTTAAAAGCTGATGATTATCTTTCGTGCTTTCAAATACACTTACACCCTGGCTTTTACCATAAGAGTTAAGCAATCAGGATTAATCTAGAGCGAGCGGCTTTTGAATGATAAAGAGTAATTCGCTATTGGCCACGTGACAAGAGATATAACAGCCCAAGATAATTTCACTTTCAAAATGATGCATTGTAGGTAGGAAGTTGTTTTTACGGTTAAATTTTTTCTGAGACCAACCGTTAAACTTTGTCTGTTTTAACACCTAACGGCTAATTTTCAGTTTACGGTTAATTTCATTGGTACCCTCAATTAAAGTTGAGGATTCCTAACATAGGTGAAATTTGAAACGTGCATTTGGCCTTTTAGAACAGTGTTTATAAAATAAGTCAAATAGTATACGCGCTCTGATTGGCCATAAAACCACTCGATAAGCTGGAAACCCATTTCTTCAATGATGAAAGAAAGAAAAAAAGCAACAGAGAAAACACTATGTCTGTAAAAATTGGTCAAATCAGATACGATTTTGCAAACCCGAGGCAACTTTTTTCCCTTAAAACTTGTTCATACACTTTCTCAAGTGGTAGAGCGTTAAATGGAGTGTATTGGAGGTGTATTAACATATTGTTTCAATTAAATATATTCAGGTGTTTTGGAAACCGGTAGAAACACATTTTGGTCGTCAAATGATGTGCTCCTTGGTGATTCAACTCGTTCTGTGGTATTAACAAATGATTAGTAAATTAAATAGACGCCCTTTAGGCGCGCACTCTGAATCAAATTTCCTTGTGGGTGTAGGGATGAGTATGGAGCTGATATTTTCATTTTCCACGAACAGGTACCCACCATAAGCGCCATAACATATTAGGCTGCATATTTTTTATGCTTTGCAAAAAGCTTTCCTGTATTTTCCTTAATCTAGATTATTTTAAAATAAGTGAATAAAAGGCTTCTCGTTTAAAGGGATCCAGCTATGGCTCATAAAACGTGCACTTTTTACCACAACAGATACGAAAAGAAAGGTTCTGCCTCAAAGCTTGCGGATGACATTACGAAATGTTCACCTAAACTGGAAAGGTGCGAAGACATGTAATACTAAAAGGAATATTTTAAGGTGCAGCTAATGAGGAAATGTCTAACTTAAGGTGTATGTCTTGTGGTAAACTCCGTTTGTTGATGACAGGCACGTCGGTTAACTTGCCATTTAAACCAGCGCTGGAAAATGTGAAACCATTCTTCATGTACAATTGGATCGCTGGCACCACCGTAGACGTTGTTTTTAAAATAACCAATTTTATCCTATTTGTCTTGGCATGTGAGATTAGTTCTTTAATCAGGTTTCTAGCGATCCCCTTTTTCCTACAATTCGGCACAACGTACATGCGCTTGAGTTCATAGACGCCTTGTTCGAAGTTTTCCTCGTGAATGAGGCCCACCATCCCAACAACTCTTCCATTCAACTCTGCTACCCACAAGTGCGACTGTTGAATCGACATGTAGGACTCCTCAATATCCTTTAAATCGCCTGATTTCAGTGTATGATTAATATAGAGCCAGCCTGTCAACTGTAAATATATGCCGATGAATGCCAAAACCATGCATGCCATCACCACAAACACAGCAAAGATCCATGCCGACCAAATCACTGCTGCAAGTATTGGAAACATAGCAGCCATGACAATGTACCTTACCAACAACGATAGATATGTTACTGTGATACTTTTTATAAACTCTTGATATCCATCCTTAAAAATGTTTTGGCATGCTGATTGGTCCTTACGTTCGAATGAACGAATGATGGGCAAGATCCTGTCTGCGTTGTTCTCGGTAAGTGATGCCAACTTCTCTCTAGAGATTGACGGAGCCATTTGGAGCTGTGAAGAAAAAAATTTTGGCGGTAGTCGCATCAAACTTCACTGATTTTATCTTACGTCAATCACAAACCCCTTTCGCTCTAAAAAGAAATAAAAAAATCGAAAACAATAGTATTTTGGGAAGGGGGATGCCCAAAACGCGGGGATACCCAAAAATTTTTCATAAATACTGCAAATCGTAACATTTCATTCCCAAAATTCGCTTAATGACAGTCAGATAAATAAAGTTCACTTACCTTCGTTTTTCTTTGTTGTCTCGAGTGATATCGGAGGGTTTTGGGTTGGTTAATTCCCCACTTTGCACTGATGCCCCTCCAAACGTAAGGAAAAAAAACGGGGCGTGTAACTTCCAGGACCGCCTGGGCCGAAAGCGTAAAAAAAAAGCGTAAAAAAAAAAAAGCCGAATTTCTTCCGTCTCCAAATGTCGCTCACCTCCCAGCCTTGGGTACGCTAAAAGACGAAGGGAAAAAAGTGTAAAAGCGAAGCCAAAAATCAGTGCAATTGCCTACCTCTAACCACCTCAAAAGCCTAACTGCCGTAGACTCATGACGTGGACCTACTAGTCTATCCAATCAGAACGCAGCTACTACTGACAACTTCGTTCCAATTGGCTAATATTTTTTTTCCGGTTGCGGAACGGAAGTGGTAAATAATAGTCTTAGGGGAACGCTGGTTTGTACCGTCTTTCGACCGACACACTACGTACTGGCGTGGGGAGGGTCTGGTGAAATCTGAGTTCCCTTAGTGATTAATTTAAATTTTAATACGGTTAATCGAAGGCTTATGATCGACCTCTTCGGTCCACATCATGTGTCGACGGCGGATGATAAGCGAATGTCGGAAATCGAGCAGGCTTTTTAGGTGGTCAGAGGTGGGCAACTGCACTGATTTTTGGCTTGGCTCTTACACGGTTATCGACTTAAAGCAGGAGCCCATTACCTTGCTTAAGGTTAATTCCCACCTTCAGAGGCCGAAAAAAACCATTTTTCTTTTATTTGACTAAATTGAATTAAAAACATTCAACCTAACGTTTCCAGAAATATTCAAAGGTAACCGAGTTATTTAGAAAAACGTTGTTTTTTTTTTTTGATGAAAGTTAATAAATCAGGAAGGTGCCATAATCTCGGACCTGGGCGAGTCCCCTGGAGGAATGTTTCGGAACCGCTCATGGTGGGGCTCGATTTTCATGTTATATCCATATTTTTTTTACATCGCACACTTTACAAAATTCACACGTGGAAGCTCTTTGTTTATGAAAAAATCTTTGCTCATGGAAAAATCAAAAGTGGAAGAAAGTCCTCGGTAAAAAAAAGGGAAAAAAATAGGCGCAAAGAAGAAAGAAAGAGTACCATTCTGTCAAGAAAAGAGAATTCCTTTGTGAAAGCGACTGGTACTGGCGGAGCTTCCTGCTAGCGTCCAGATTTCGAACAAAGAATTCGCCGTCAAACCAAAACTTGCCATACATAATGTTAAAAACGAGGTTCATTTTCTTTATGCAAGTACCAGCTGTGATACAAAAGCATTAAAAGTCACCTTGAATCGTAATTTTGAAAGCTATATGTCGATTCGTTGTCGTGCTCCTCAGCACATTTTCCATTTTTGCCGCGGATTTTTCCTTTGCTTTTGGCAACTTTGCTCATTATTGTGTCGTCCTCCTCAACGCTCTTTGAGCGATCGAGATAAAAGATAAACTTGTTTGCAACGGATTCCTTTTCGCGGTAAATCTTGATCCATTGTCATTGCTTGATCTCTGTCCTATTGGTTTGCGGTTTCAGGAGGGGAGATAATCTCCGGACGTGGCGCGAGTTGTTTGCGAACCTTTATGAGTTCGCATTTGATTTTGGGAAGAATGCAACCACTTCGAGCAAATTTATAGGGTATATGGATTTGACCGATTTTCGTCAAATTTCAACAAAGCCCTTTAGGAATAATGACAAACGAAACCGTGTCGGGAAATTTTGATATTTAAAATATTTGTCCCGTGGCGTCCATTTACGCAACACGACTCGCATATTTTTAGGTACTCCAACTTTAGATGCCGATATCTAGACAACCAATCAGAATATCAAAAAGCATTAATGCTGATTAATGCCTTGTGAATAAGACTGTGCAGTCATTTTGCTCGCGCTGTGGCATCCGATACCCGATAAATTCAATAGAAGAACCTTCGGTCGTTTCACGCCTTACCGGCTCCTTATCACTTCCCTAAAACAAATGTCGCTTAAATCATATTTTTATCGTAAACTGCAGTTATTAAGCTTTCTTCTGATATATAGTTTGCCAGGAATTTAGTGAAACTAGCGCGCGTACGAATATTTTCCCGAAGGACGCCCGCGAAGGTGGGAATTAACCTTAAGTTCGACGTTTGCAAATGTAGAGTGAAATTAAAGCGAAACCTAATGCATGCATTATGGCAATGTGGCCCCGAATACTTTCTCAGTGGGATAACGTGAAACGCATGCTTAGATTTGTTTCAGATTTTGGAAAATGACGGCTTGGAGAAGTACTTATGCTCGTAGGGATGTCAGATGAGCTTGAAGTCAGAGTACGAAGATGAAAGCCTATCATCTGAGCAACTCGAAATCAGTCCAGAGTCGGATTTATCGGAAAGTTCAAGCGTATTGGGCTCCTTGCAAACTGTATCTCTTACCAAAACATGTCAGATACGCACAAGAATAAAGAAAAAAAGACCTCTGGATACTCGAAAAAGTTTCTTAAATCTTGCATGTGAGTATGTATTCCAAACGTTTGCCCACCAACCAGTATTTCTTATAACACGGCGGCAAGATCGAGCGACCATTCTGTTGGAGTTTCGAGAGTTGGTCGAAATGCACAAGATAAGGAGGAGCATATGAATGCGTTTCCATATTTCTTCATGATATGAAAGCAAAGCATGTTGTGTTAATATCCTTCTTCTTTTTTCTGCTAGCATTCGATGTAAAAGAAGAACCCTTTTTCGTTGATCTATGGACAAATCCATGTCAGCCATCTTTCAGCTGACTTGACCCTAGTCTCCTAAAGCGATGTTTTCATAGACCACTGACTTAGAACGAATCAGCAGCTATTAAGTACGACGTTTGAATCAACTGTCGTACTGGAATCGAGCTGAAGTCGAACTTAATATAAGTGAGTTCGACACGAAGATAGCACTACGTTTGAACCGGGCCTAAGAGTTTAGCTAGCGCATCAATAACAAACGTCACGAGGCCTCAAACCCATAGGGTTGTCTGCCTGTGGTACAACGATTGCTTTGCGTAAAGGAAATAACTCAGAGGATATCAAAGACTTCAAGTTTACCCACAACTTGAGAATAACCTTTGTCCATATTTGGCAAATGGGATGCAAACAACTTAAATTCAAACGAAGAACTTCGAGATATTTACGATATTTCCAAATCAAACATTGTCCTTAATGTTTATCAATAAAAACTGAAGAAAGATATGCCGCGAACAATAAAAAAGTCGACCGAGGTAACTTAAGCTGGCAATCCCAGGTGGAAATCTTATTAAGATCTTACTAAGATTCTTGTAAGTTTCTTACTAAGATTCTTATTAAGATTCTTAATTAAGAATCTTGTAAGACCTTACAAGATCTTGTAAGATCTTGTCACAAGATTCTTACAAGAATCTTGTAAGATCTTACAAGATCTTGTAAGAATCTTGTAAGATCTTACAAGATCTTGTAAGAATCTTGTGGTAAGATCTTGCCAGATCTTGCAAGATTCTTGTAAGAATCTTGTGACAAGATCTTACAAGATTCTTGTAAGAATCTTGTGACAAGATCTTACCTGATCTTGTAAGATCTTACAAGATTCCTGTAAGAATCTTGTGACAAGATCTTACCAGATCCTATAAGATTCTTAACTGTAAGAGTCTTGATAAGTATCTTAGAAAGAAACTTACAAGAATCTTACAAGATCTGGTAGGATTCCTGTGACAAGAATCTTAATTAAGTACCTTCACAAGTTTTCAAAAGAACTTGTTAAGATTCTAAACAATGTCTTAATGATCTCTAAAAAAACTTACAAGAACTTGTGAGATTTTCAAACAACTTACAAGAATTTTTGCAGAATCTGTAAAAATTCTTAAATATCACATTTTTTTCAGACCATAGTAGGTAACTGATGGTTTATGCAATATGCAGTAACTGGATGATTGAGGAATGGAGATCACAACTAAGAAAGAATTTCTTCATCCAACATTTAAGCAAAATTTATTTCAAATTCTCAACACTGTGAAATTAATTACTAAAAAAGATCTTGATAAGAAACGTTAACTGGTAAACATGCACGATTTAAATGACAATTGTACAAGAAGAGTTCTTGTTCTTCCCTTCGGTGTGTTTTAAAAATCTAAAAAAACAATTGTTTTAATTGTTGGAGTCATTTGACAGTTTGATTTGAACTACTATAGTTATCCTTTTACAAAAAAGCCATAATAACTAAAGGCATGTCCCAGTTTTAAATTGTTCTTCGTTTGATTCAAACTGAAATAGTTTTTCCTTTTTTAGAGTAATTTAAGCATGAAAACAAAAAAAAAAACAACAAAATTTTGTATTGCAGCAAACGTGTTCAAAGAATTAAAGCTCACTATCACTCATCTAAGTTGGCATTTTAGTCAATTTGACAGCTACTTGACAAGTAAATTTGCATATGTTTCAATTTTGTACAAATATCAACCAAGCCTTAGTTCATTCAGTCTACGGACTTGTCAACATTGCCCTCTACATTTTGAACTTTTCTCTTGGAATCCAAGCAATTTTTTTATTCAAGTAGAGCCTTATTTGAGACCACCTCTTATTCATTTGGGCATCACCAAATTTCTGTTTTATGGCTCCTGTGGGAAGAAAAAAAGAAAATAGTAATTTGTATACAGGTACAAAATATACTAAAACCTTGAGAGCGTATTTTTTAAAATCCCTGCCAGAGAGGAGTAATAGGAGTTTGGTTTCATTGTACATCTAAAATGAAATGTAACATGTTAGGAGACAAGAATCAAGATTGGAAAAAAAACCCTCAGTGTTTAAATAATTAAGTATCATAATCTATTGTCTGCAGTAGAATTGTTGCTCTGACTTCAATTCCATCTTTCAGTAGCCTGACTTGTGAGGAGTACTGACTAAGATAGAGGGGAGGAGCTTCTCAATGGTTCTCCTTGATCACCATCATGCCTCATCTGTATGCAAAGAAAAGGAGGTAGTGACTATCTTTAACAAGAATTTATCATCTTTAAGAGCAAAATTTTTATGTACAAGTTCCCAGTTATGAATCTTGGCAATTTGCACTGCCCAACTCCAATCCAACAAACTTTGTTTACGCTTTGCACTGCTGAAACAGCTATTCCCAATTCCCACAAAAAGTTGATAAATGAAAAATTACCTTTTTACAATCAGAGGAGTTGCCACCCTTCTATCCCATTCTGTGCTTGTAGCATTAAGATGGGACTCAAAGTCTACTTTATTCAGGATACAATCATTTTTACAGGTGATCCTATCTCTCCAGTTCTCCTGTGAATATGAATTTAAAAAATGTTTACATTTGTTGAGCAATCCCTCCACTGAATTAAGTTTCATTAACCTTTAGAACAAAGAAAATTGTGAGAAAGGGAAGCAAGGAATCATAACTCAGCATTAAATGAAAACCAGAAAAAAAATACACACACATTCACAAAACAAAACAAATAAAAACTAAACAGAACCAAACAAAATACAAAAAATGTTGCATGGAATTAATACAGGTATTGAATGTATAAGAGTAAAATTAACAGGATAACAGTGCCAAAATTCTGCCTTAAGCCATCTAAGTCAATGAAGTCTTGAAGGAGGGGGGGGGGAAATGAACTATCATGCACCAACATTGAGTATTTAGAGTTCTTACATCATCAGAAGAACTTCCCATTTTTTGGTAATTTTTGTTTGCTTTGGGAAGATTTCCACTACTGTGGACACGGCCGTGATAATCAAACCCAGTTTGGCTTTCATCATCATCCTCACCAGTGGAAACTTTTAAGTAGAACGTAGCAATTTATAATTATTTGGGAATAAAGGAATTCCATAATCGATTTCGCGTTGTTATTGCACCCTTCTAGTTTAACTTCTAGTGGTTATTAGTAAAGCCGAAGACAAATTAATTGTTTATTGTGAACCATTTCCATGCGAGACGACTGGAAGCTACGATGATTCTGCCTACAACACTTAAATCCAGAACAATCTGGATTAAAACTGACTTGAGAGAATTGCTACAAGTGCAGTAAGGTTAGCAGCCGCCGTTACGTGGTTTTGATGATGATAGCGTTACATCTCGTGTCAGTTTCCACTCAATTCTAAACAAAAACGCTTCCTGACGAAATCGAACCCTAACGAGATTTTATGATTTGCCTTGTATAAAAATACCGTGGCCTTGCAATTACATAAACTTATCGTCACTTTTTTCGTCCATGCTGAAAGAATCTAAAAAGTGCGAGAAATAAGTCTATCGCATCACCCTCCAGATGTGTAATGTTGATAACGTGAACTTAATGAATAAAAGTCAGTAGCACTTACCTTCGGGATGATTTGCCTTCATTTGCTTCATTACCAGTCGTGCACTAGTGGTTTTTTTAGAAATCTTCTCAAGATACTTAAACTACCAAGACCAATGTGTTCCTTGAGTTATAAAGCGAGTGTCGTGCACAATCATACGTGTGCTTTCTATATGCTTAGATGTGTAAACTATTCACCTGAGGCCCCTTCACGTGACAGAATAAAACAAGGATATCGCAACCTTGAATGTGTAATCGTAGTGTTCTTTCACAAGAAAAGCAAAACGCGATTTATCTCCTCTGGTGTGCTGTAAACTCATGTTACTTACCGACTGCGTCATTTTCTGTATTTTAAGCGACAGTAACATTAGTTATTTTGTAAAGAACTTGGCTTGTAAAATCCTAATTCTCGAGATCATTATTCTTCTTCAGGGCTTTAGACACAATTAAATTTCACAACGAGGTAGATAACACTCAACCAAAGTAAAATTTCTGTAAAACTTTGCCGAAACGAAATGGCGCGAGAACGGTTGACAACAACGGTCGAGTGAACAATTTGTAATTTTGCGCCGGCCGTAGCGGGAGACTGGGGAAAACCTTAGTGAAAGTACAAAATGTCACGCAACTCTCGCAAGTATTTTGTAAGTAACTACCTATAAACTTTTTTAAAATACTTTTAATTTCTGCCATCTGACCGGTCTGCAAATTTCCGATGTTTATTTGTTATTATTTTGTAAAGAATTTGGTCGGTAAAATCCTAATTCTCAAAATCATTCTTCTTCTTTAGGGCTGTAAGGCACAGTTAAATTTCGCAACCAGGCAGATAACACTCGACCAATGTAGAATTTCTGTCAAACTTTGTCCGAAACGATATGATGCAAAAACAGTTAACAACAACGATCAAGTGTACAATTTGCAATTCTGCGTATGCGCAGTGGCGTGGAATGCCTTGGTGAAAGTACAAATTTCATGCAACTTTCTTGAAAAATATTTTTACAAGTAGCTAGCTATGAATTTTTTTTTAAATACATCTTTTCACTCTGCCATCTGGCTGGTCTGCATACTGCCATATTTTTTTTTCTGAACCATATCAGCGAAAGTCTCTTGCTTGTGGAATGTGGTGACATTATCTATGGGTGTCTTTATGTTCAAGGCAAAGATGGGAAGGTTTAATCCCTTTCTAGACACTCCCTATGAACATGATTAGTGATTATTTAAACTAGCTGTTCAGTATATTTCATAATCAATCATCAAATGTAATCTGAAAAGTCTGTCCAAATTTAATCTGCTGATACCATAATTCCAGTGGAACAATTACCTCTTTAGAAAGCAGCTGCATGTATATTGTGTTCTCAGGTCTGAAATTTGCACACCATACCATAGAAGCTTACTTGACGTCATGTGATCCCCTTTTGGACATGGCATTTTTCACATCATGTGTGAGAGGTTTTAAGCCTTATGCATCCCCATGCTCTCTTATGAACAGAACAGGATAAGCATTTCGAGTTACTCAAGAATGTACTGGAATAAACTTGATAAAATCTTGTCAAGAACATTTAAATTCCTACTGATCTTAAAATTTTGATTCTTACAAAACTCTTAGATGAACTTTAGATGAAATCCTGTCTAGAATCTTAATGATGTTACATTTACAGATCTTACTTCATTATTAAGATTCTTAAACAAACTTACCAAGATCTTGTCAAGAAGCTTGTAAGATCTTCCTTTTCTTAAAGATTAGGATTCTTACAACTGAGATTCTTAAGTGAACTTCATATGATGTTGTTAAGAACTTTCAAGATCTTAATGCCCATGTGTTGTAAAATTTTTTTTAGGATTCTTAAAAGATTCTTAAATAAACTTAATAAGATCTTGTTGAGAACCTTTCAAGATCTTAACCCCCATTTCTTGTAAAATTTTGTGAGGATTCTTACAAGATTCTTAAATTAGTAAGATCTTGTTAAGAACCTTCCAAGATCTTAATCCCCATGTGTTGTAAAATTTTGTTAAGATTCTTACAAGATTCTTGTATAAACTTAATAAGATCTTTTAAGATCTTACAATGCTCAAACCTGGTTAAGATTTGTTCAAGAATTTGGCAAGATCTTATTAAGATTATTAATTCTTAATAAGATCTTAGTAAGATCTTCATCTTAATTGCCATCTTATAAGATTCTTACAAGATCTTCCAAGATCTTACAAGATCTTCCAAGATCTTAATAAGATTTCCACCTGGGAATATTTTAGGTAAAGAGGCGAGAACTAGGTGGGATATTTTCATTTAAAATGGTGTTTGGTCCGTCGGATGAAAACCAAATTACTTGCGTGGCTCTAAAGAATCCCGAATCGTATAAAGAGAATTTTATTCGATCTGAAACAATAAATAAATAAGATTTCTAAACAACAGAACCTAACCAAAATTAAGAGACCTAAGCACATCATATAATCTTAAAACGCGAACAGATTTGACCGCTAATTACATGCGGTCTTACAGAAATTACACTAACAGAAATCAACGCGAATAATTGAATGTAACAAAGCCTAAGGAAACCAAAAACGACTTAAAACAACTGACTTACTTCGTGACGGGATTCCAGAGTTAAACTAAACTGTATAGTCATCAAAAACGGGAAAGCTATCCTGATTCATGCCTCCGACACGACACGTGTAAAAACTAACTAAAAACCATCAACTTACTCATATTTCAGTGTCAATCAAGGTGATCAATAAGTGAAAAGAAAAGGTGAAATATTAAACTAAATAAACTTTTAAACGTAACGCAAATGTCACGCGAGCAATGTTCTTCTCGAAACAGTGTTCTTTCTACAGATTAATCTGGCCGTCTGCCATGCCAAGGCACGCTCAGTTTTGTCCTTTATGACGCGAGAGAGCAAGATAGTGAGTCTGAGTCCAGTAAGCTTCTTTGAACACAAACTTTAATTACTTGAGAGGCAGGTTACCTTTAGAGCTAACGAAACAACAACAACGCGATAGCGACTCTCTTATTATAAAATGTTTTTGTCGTGTAACCCGAGAACTGACACGTGAGTAGTCCGAAGTGATTACATAACCAGTCCAGAAAGTTACATAACAGTTGAGAGTTACATAAGAAAGAAAAAAGCAAACGTTGATGTCCGGAAGGTTTTTTGCATATCATAACACGCTCAGCCAAGTAGGACATTGAAATACAAATGTACTAAGAACGTTTTTAAGCGAAAGATGTCTATTCTTGCAGATGTCAAACAGAATTTACTCTTCATTCGAGAAAGTCTCCTAAGATATGGCACGATTCTCTGCCGTAAGGCGACTACAAATGTTGCAGGTTTCCTAGCTTTTGCTCTCTAGTACTGCACCTACCTTTCATTTAAAAATAATTCTGAGTTGAAATGCCGATGCATCCACTCGATGTTTTACCACACGCGTTATTGAGTACCTATTTACTGATGGAACCTCAGTCATATTCAAACATTTATCATTCCCAGAAATGTCGCAATCTCTGACCCTATGATAATGCTTCAGTATCTAAGATCACGCCTCCAGGAGGCTAGCTAAGGGGAGTTTCTAATCCCCACGCACGAATTTTTAAAAAATTCACCCGTCACGTATTTAAAAGGGAAACTGTTTACCTTCTTCTTCTTGTGTATAAGGTTGCATGGAAATTCTGAGCTTTGCACGAAATGAAAGAAAAAATTCAAGCATCTCGTACCTTTCAGGTAGGCATATCACGCCTTCATCCATAAGTCCATATTTTAATGCAAAATTATGAATCCAAACTTCCTACTTTGCGTTGATTTAACTGAAAATAGTTAGAGACCTGTCGGAAGGAATCGCTAAAAATGCCATAGCTTTCAAAATCATAGCCTGTTTGCTGCATGCTTTCCGGTCCTTTCGGAAAAAAATCTCAAGCTTACAACGGAAGCTTATGACGTAGATTAGAAGAAGCTTCTGCTCACAGGCAGAAGCTTATGCGTGATTTGCTATTTTACAAGCGCATGACGCGTGATTTATAAGACTTACTAATTAGATGTCCGTGGTAGGTGAACGCTCTTTGATCTAGAAGAATACAATTCATTCAAAGTGAATAGATTCTTTACTGTTTACTTTGCTGAGCGGCTTCTCGATCTTTGTCAAAGAAAGATCAATAAAACTTTTCTGTCTTCTTGCTGACCTTTTCTTGACCTTTGATGTCTCTGATCTTCGTGGTAGGTCCAGAGGCATAGGTTAATACAGTTAAGATTTACACGAGGTGTAAATTATGACCTTCAGTGTTCCTTTTGTAGACCGCGTGGTCGTGGTTGTGCTTCAGATCGTATGCAGAAAGACCAGGAAGTAAACGAATCCATCGAATAAAAGATCTGAAAGACTGCCGACTTAAACGACCCAAACAGTTGTACGCTACGAAGGCAGGCAGCCCAAGCTCACGTCTGGAGAAAAAGCCAATGGTTAATTCATTAAAGCGTCACGGGTTGTGTGACTCGGTGTTAAGCTACGAGAGGAACCGTTGAAAATTTGAACACGTTATAAGTAATAGTATAGGTAACAAAATATGGTCGAAGTCGTCTTTTGACATGAATAACTGTGATGGTAAAGCAAGCTTAAAACGGCAGAAATCGCCAGAAATCGCCAGAAATCGCCAGAAACTACGACGGATACACGAGATATGAGTAAGTTCTATTGATTTTACGTGTAAAATATTCATATTTCGAAATATTTATCGTTGTAAATCGACCATATTTTGTTCCCCATACTATTCCTTATAACGTGTTCAAATTTTCAACTGTCGGAAATGAGACTAAAGAATCTGTTATGTTCCGAAACTTCACGTTTTATTTTATAAAAACAACTTAATCTCCCTCTCTCTCTCACTGTTCTCTGTCTCACGCTCTGGTCTCTCTCATTTTAAATATATAATATGATCCTATTGTTCAATCATCTGTCACTTATCGCAAAAAGTCAACCGGAAATCAATTAACGCTGAATAATCTCTCACACACTCCCCTGTTTTTGTCAACGGAGAAAAAACATTAGAATGGCACACTCGATAAAATTTGAAATGCAATGAACGAAACAGAAAGTTAGTCCAGTATATCAGTTCAGTTTTCCTAAATATCTCTAAACAGCATCAATGTTCGCGTCTTGAATGCGATAACGAGCGGCTACCGCTGCATCCCTCCTGGGTCTAAATGTCGGGGCTTCGGGGTTGAGCTGTAGAGGAGCCTGTACATTCTCCCGATCGCAGGACAGCTCCAGTGGGTAAAGGTGTTGTACCGCCCGTTCAAGTGTTCCTTTCCCCGTTCGAAGTTTGGCAGCCCGAACGATTCCGTCTCGTCCCGAAATCAGATCTTCCACGATTCCAATTTTCCATTTATTGCGATTTCGTTCCTCGTCCTTGATGATGACTACCTCTCCTTTGGCCAAGGGCGTGGTTTGACCCTTGTGTTTCATCCGGTGTCGTTCTCTCAACACTCGTAAATATTCGGTAGTCCACTTGGTCCACAAAGCCTGCTTGCACCTTCGCAGATATTTAGCTCTTCTATGCAGATCAAATTCTC